TGTTACTGCAATACTTTAAGGAATGTTTCCAATTAAGTTGAAGGGGGAGTCTATCTGATTCATCAGAAGTGAAGAATGCCTCTTTCCAAGTATTCCAAATTTAAAAGCAGTCACTTATATAATAGTGGCTTCCCTTTTGCAATACATAAACAAACACAAAAGCAAACGATATCAATTCCTCATTTTAATTTGCGTTTAATCGTTCATTATATATTAATAACTGTTTAAAAAAATAAACTCTGTATGCAGATATGAATGGAATTATTTAATAATATAACTGTTAAATAGCAACTTATTCACACAAGGTATTACTTAACGGGGCACTTCAAACCCGTAACAATTTTAATCTTCACCCTCTCTTTTATACTTTATGGGAAATCTGTACCTTTAAAAGGTGCTGATTGCTTTGTGTGCCAGCATGAAGTAGAAGACATGGATTGTGATATATATTGTCGCACATGACTTATGCACTATTCATCAAGCCTTAACCGGATTACACCTAGTCGATTGCTGGAAAGCGATACACCCTGACGGTAGGGAGTTCACGTACTATTCCTCTACGCATGGTTCTTATTCCAGAATAGATGACCTATTCCTATCCCAAGCCTACCTCATGCAGCTACTGGAAACGAACTTTGGAAACCTATCATATTCCGACCATGCAACAGTTACTCTCCACATAAAAGCCCCGTTAGTCAAACCCACTACCCGCATGTGGAGTTTGAAAAAAAATCTGCTCTTTTAGATCGGAACATTGTTCAGGAAGTACAAGTGACACTGACCCACTATTTGGATGATAACCTTACCCTCTATACCTCACCTTTCACGATCTGGGAGGTTCATAAGAGTGTAATTAGAGGGCGCTAATGACCAAAATAGTGGAACTTGAATCTAAACATAAATGGTCCCTATCAGATTTTAATTATTAACTCCTCCTAGCCAGAAAGGACCTTGCAACTCTATTGACCCAGAAGCACTATGCCTCACTTTAAAAATCAAGAAGATTATTTTGAGAATTTGAACAAATACAGATGCCTGCTAGCACAGATGCTAAAGAAGCGTAGAGATCACATTCATATTAGCAGGATTCGAAGTGACATTATCAGCTGACAGAGTGAATCGCATACATCCTCATTGAGGCATATGGATATTACTGGACACTGGGATCAGTTGAGTTAAGCTCCAGTCTCATCACAGATGCGATCCTCCAGTATAATGCTAGTGGACGCCATCTGGTTCTACTCAGATGACAAGCTCTTAGTAGCTCAATCAAGTGAGTTAGCACTTTATACAGCTTACACGAAATATTCTAAATACCGTAACATATTTCGCTATTTTTTTGTCTATTTCTTTTCTCTTTTGTGGTTATTAAAGCCATCTTACAGCAGTCCACATTGACCTAATAGAATCCTAAGTAAATATATGTTAAGATATACATTTTCTTAACTGTTGTACATTTCCACACCATCTTGGGCGCAGTCTGTCATTCTGTTTGTCACCATAATATATTGACACAATGGTAAACTACACCACAAAAACTGCATAGGTTCTCCTGACATACTTGATACCTGCTGGAGGTGTAGAACTTTGGTTGGTTTACTATTGCACATTTTTTGGAACCGCACAAAATAAAACCCTACCTCAAGGTGATCGTTGACACTTTCATGAAGGTGGCAGATGAAGAAGTAAGGTTTCATCCAGCTGACATGCTCCTTACCGATACCAAACTCCCGATCTCAAAATATAGGAAACTCTACCTAAGCACCTTTTGAAAGCAGCACACTCCTTAATATTAACTTTTTGGAAATGCCCTAACCTCTCTATTTTCAAAGCATGGCTTGAGAGAGTGATGGCTATGTTGTACTGCCAAACTAATCACTACAACTAGATCAAGAGTGCATAGCAATATTAAATGAGCACTTCTGCATGAAGGGTCATGCGTGGAACAGGGTCAGTTGTAAGAAAGAATAAATTTAAGGTTTAAGTCTATTTTTTATGAGCTTTTTGCAAGACTGGTAGAAAAACAGACTTTGTAAAACAATTTATAAATAATCATATATTAATTATATTTAAACGAAAGTGTACTTGGTTTCCTGTGTGTATTTGGTGTCAATTAAGTATACTAACATTCTAATTAAATCATGCATACTCACAAGAAATTTAAGTTGCTTCTGTTGTTCTCAGCAAAGTCTCTCCCACCTCCACCAGTACTTCGAATACATTGATAAAAAGAGTCATAAAATTCATTTGGAAGGTCTCAAAATATTGGAGAGGAAATCCATCCAAGTCATATTTTTTTTCCATCTGCGATGTTTTCATCAGTTTTAACAATTCTTCTGGTGTTAGTTGGAATTCCAGGCCTCTCCCCAAGTAGGCAACACTGATTCTTTTAGATGTGTGTGAATCCACTTGATGTAACAGACTCAGGCTGCGACTCTTGACCTTATCACAGGTTCTATAATAAAGTATAGTGTGATTTAAATCTCTGCACTGCCTTGTCAGTGTAGAATTGTATTTGGCCAAATACATAAGCTATTTGTTTTTGTTTGTTTTATGTGCAGGATATTGGTATGACAGTTATTTGTGTAATGTGTTGCACTTATTACTGCATTATTTATCTCCCCACCCTCTACAGTGCAGTCCAATGTTTTGTGCTAATACAATGTGTGTGAAAGGGTTGAGAATGTAATTTAACCCCTTAAGGACACATGACATGTGTAACATGTCATGATTCCCTTTTATTCCAGAAGTTTGGTCCTTAAGGGGTTAAAGTAACACCCACTGTCTATCTCCCACATAGTACCAGTACTCCAGAACTTTACTGAAGATTCTCAAGGGTTAAAATAAAACATTCTGCAGAAAGGAGAGCGCAGCCATGCTCATTGATGGGGGTATGGAGAAAGTCAAAACAGAGGGTAGTGAAGAGTGCAGAGAGGATGGGGAGTACAAATAATGGGATCTGTAGAGGTAATGTCACAAACATTTCCACATTTACTCACATTGCCGCACTATACAACTACATTTCTATATTCACATACACTACCAGCTACTACCCACCTCATCCTGTTTTTATTTTCCTATATGATGTGATGCTGTGCATTATTCTGCTGACATCACTGACATGTCACATTCCACTCCATTCAAGCATTTAGAAAATAACTGCATACATGATTCCGGCGTCAAGACTGACACAGATTACTTCGCCCATAGCCATTCCTATAACCAAAAGGAGACGGGCAGGGAGTCATTTTAGCAATGGTGCCCAATTACATTTTAGTGTCCTTCTGATTACATAAGGTGTTAGGGCTATACAGTGAGTGAAAAAAGTATTTGATCCAATGACAAAGAAATGATCAGTCTATAATTTTAATGGAAGGTGAATTTTAACAGTTAGACACAGAATAACATTAAAAAAAAATCCAGAAAAACGCATGGCAAAAAAGTTATAAATTGATTTGCATGTCAATGAGTGAAATAAGTATTTGATCCCCTATCAATCAGCAAGATTTCTGGCTCCCATGTGTCTTTTATATAGGTAACGAGCTAAGATTAGGAGCACTCTCTTAAAGGGAATGCCCCTTATCTCAGCTCCTGTATAAAAGACACCTGTCCACAGAAGCAATCAATCGTTCAGATTCCAAACTTTCCATCATGGCCAAGACCAAAGAGCTGTCCAAGGATGTCAGGGATAAGATTGTAGACCTACACCACAAGGCTGGAATGGGCTACAAGACCATCGCCAAGCAACTTGGTGAGAAGGTGACAACAGTTGGTGCAATTATTCTCAAATGAAAGAAACACAAAATAACTGTCGGTCTCCCTCGGCCTGGTGCTGCAAGATCTCACCTTGTGGAGTTTCAATGATCATGAGAACAGTAAGGAATCAGACCAGAACTACACGGGAGGGTCTTGTTAATGATCTCAAGGCAGTTGGGACCATCGTCCCCAAGAAAACAATTGGTAACACACTACGCCGTTAAGGGCTGAAATCCTGAAGAGCCCGCAAGGTCCTCCTGCTCAAGAAAGCACATGTACACGCCTGTCTGAAGTTTGCCAATGAACATCTGAATAATTCAGAGGAAAACTGGGTGAATATAAAATACAACATAGTGTGTACTGTTGTAACAAACATACAATATTATGAGAAGAAAAAGGCACACATAATATTGTATGTTTGTTACAACAGTACACACTATGTTGTATTTTATATTTACTGCATACAGGGTCCACAGTTAAAAATCATTACTGGGAATAGGACCTATATGTGAACATTTAACAAAAAGGTAAAATATATTACTGAGGTTTTGCGCTCTCTCCTTTTTTTTCTTCTACTTTGATTTCTATACACAATGTATAAAGTGGCTATACACTGAGGTGATTTCAAGCTGCACCGGTTTTATTATTTTTCAAGTTTAGTGCCCTTTTCCCTTCCATTGTTTATTTTGGTTTGTATCAATGGTGTCTTGCCTTTCAAACCCGCCATTATCTGTAGCTTGTCTTGCACCGTGACACATCTGAGGATGACATCTCTTGCTGTTGAGGTTTTTAGGTGGGTAGCTCCAGGCAGGCGGTATACCCCATCAATGATGATTTTCTTTGCCACTGCGTGGGAAAATACCATAGATAGTAGGCGCCAAATGTAATGTGGCAATTCTTTGGCCGATACCGCCATGGGGCTGTCCCAGATTTTTACGTGCGAGAGGCATTGCTGGTCTTCCATGGCTGTCATTTTGAGTGACAGATACGTTAGTTGTTGCTGGATTTGTTTGGTAGATTCTCCAATCGTGTTTAAGTGAGCGTTGACTGTCACCACTTCTTCTTCCGTGGCTCTCATCCTTTCCGTGACTGTGCATAGTTCAGTCTTGAGAAGGGCTGAGTCAGCTGCCAGGAGTTTGTGGATGTTTGCTAAGAGGATTTTTAGGTCGCGTTTGGTAGTTGGAGCAGAGTCATCCGGGAAATCCGGTAGTGGTGGCTGTTGTGCATGTGAGTGCCCGGGTGAGTCAGGCCTGTGCAGTGTTCAGGGGAATGCCCCAGTGAGTCAGAGCTTTGCTATGCCAGGATGTGTGGCCTGTCAGGCTGTGGTGCTTGGGTGTGCCCAGGGAGGTCAGGCCCTGGATGCACTGTGTTTTGTGCCCTGTCCAGCTGTCTTGTCTGAGGGTGCCCAGCTGATTCTGCTGCGCTGTATTGGGTGCCTGGGCAGGGTCCGGCATTGCTGCCGCAGGTGCAGGCTTAGTCCCTATATCCCTGTCTCCAGTCGTACCTCGGGGTTTTTGGGAGTGGCGTCCCATAGCCGGCATATGTGCAAGGGTGTCGGGTAGTCCGTGCAGGATTTCCTCGAGGCCTAGGATCATTTGCGTGTGGTAGACCCTGGCCTTGCGTCTCCATTTCTGCAGCCTTTGTGGCTGAAAGAAAGGCATCTACCTCTGTACCCCAGCCACCTGTAAGGACCGATTATACAATACTCTTTCTCTGTACTAACCTAGATTTGCATGTTAGGATGCTGCAATTGCCTGACAGTTACATAGAATAAAGAGGATGATTCAGAGGGATAGGGATGGTTTGTTTTCAAGTGCTTAAGGTGGGCTGCTGTGTCATGTAAATGCCCTACCCTATTTTTAATGCCCGTCTGACCCTGATTGGAAACACCTTGCACTTAAGGGCAACCAGGACTTAAAATATCAAATCCTATCTTACTAGCCAGGTTTTAAAAATGACTTGCTACTACATGCCTGAGGGTTCATGACATACTCACAAGGGAGAATATCTATTATCCAGGGCTACATTTTCACTCGCCAAAGGCTAGTGTTGAGTAGAAATTTTTAGTCCTGTGGTGTTAGGATTGGGATAGAAACCAAAGAACACAAAACCAGAAGACAACAACGGAGATACAATCTGTGTAATAGTCCTTAGAATGGCATTAATGGAGAACAGAAGCAGAGAATAGCTGAGGTCAAGGAAAGGAGATAACAGGATAAATGAATACAAGCAAAGTCAAAGGAGTACAGAGGTCAGGATAAACGTTTGTGCAAGCCAAATACCAGAATACTAGAACGGCAATAAATACAAATACGGCAATATAGGCGCTTACGAATTGTTATAGATTACAGAACCCAATAAGGATAAGCAGCTCAACACCCGTGCCAATACCTCTAAACTTAGCACAAAAACATGCAGGCGTATGGAATAATATGAGTGAGAGAAAAGACTATCACATAAAAAAAAAAAAAAACAGTGGAGCGCTATATTAAATTAACTTACCCTTAAAATAAGGGATATAAAATATATGGTACAACAAATATCTGGAGAAAGAGATAAATAGGGAGATAATGGTGCAGTATGTCTAATACTTGTAAATGGTGGAGAAAAAAAACAAATGTAGCAGACTCACATGGCTTAGAGCCTGGGAGGATAGGCTCAAGTCACACACGCAGGGGTATTTAAAGACAATACCAGACTTCTTCTATAGTGGCATCCAGGTACTCAGGGAGAAGAGAAAAAAATGGAGCAAGCTCCTAGTGTATTACCCTTTCAAATGTATATCACAAATTAGAATGGTGCAAAATACTTGCTCACCTTATTGAGAGCCAAAGGAAACTGGGCTCTCAGTGTAATTGGCACCGTGCCTTTAAGAGGGCACAACTCTTCTTTTAAAGCAGGAAGAAGATGCTGCAGCTCATAGGACTCAGTTGAAAAATAAAAATACTTTATTTTTAAATAAACAGAAAATATATAATAAAATACCATCAAATAATGGTTCTATTAAAAGTCCTTGCTGTCCGAGACTCGTTTCGCTTTATCACAAAAAGGCTTTCTCAATCGGTATCCTGCTGCTCGTTGTCTTCCTAACTTATACCCGGAAATCCATTCTGATTGGTTCCTTCTATCTTCAATTAATACTTCCGTCCGTCCATATAAGGGAGAGGGTTTCCGGTTCAGCTGTGATTAGTTTTCTTATAAATGGAAGAGACGTATCGTAGTAGCGCAAACGTCACTTCCGGTAGCCGTGATCGTCATGTAATGTACTGGCAACTGCCAGAAAGGTCCATATTTATAACTGGCAAAACTTGTTAACATCCAGCAATTGGCATTTGCAATATATAAAGATGGAAAAGAGAAAAAGTAGTATCAATAAAGACACATTGATAAAAAATGCACTCACAGTACTTACTACATAATAAAGGTAGCTTTCTCTTTTGTATATCAATTAAAACAAGTAGAATACATTACCCAAAAGGAAAAGAAAAAAAATTAAGGGATATCTATACAGAACATAATGTGAATATCCAGTTTACATTAAATTCAAAAATATATGTTAAAACACACCAAGTCTTTTAAAGTGAAAGACATGTGACAAACAGAAATTAAAATATATACATAAAAAATATATATCTTAAAAGTATATATTTAAAATATAACAACCCCTAACTAAAAATGAAGAGGAGATGTGTTCTCATTAAATCCACATATCATAAGAAATGGCAGAGTTCAAAGTCATTGTTCAGACCTTTTGGATGTAAGGTGTCTAATTGAAATATCCATTTCATTTCTGTTTGTCCCATTTTCTTCACCAAATCTTCTCCCCTCCAATCTGTAGCTACTTTTTGAATACCCATAAAATGGATTTGTTTAGGGTCACTGTTGTGGAAATCTCGCTACTGCCATTTGCCTTCAAGATCCTCGAGAGAGTTGTGTACACCAGACTAACTGACTTTCTCGAAACCAACTCTCTGCTTGACCCCCTTCAATCTGGATTCCGCGCTGGTCATTCTGTCGAAACAGCTGTGACCAAAGCATCCAATGATTTAATTGCTGCTAAATCTCGCGGCCATTACTCTATCTAATTCTCCTTGATCTCTCTGCTGCCTTTGATACTGTTGATCATCAACAGCTTCTTCGCATTCTCCATAATTTTGGTCTATAGGATACTGTTCTCTAATGATGCTTCTCCTACTTCTCCCAGCGCTCTTTCAGTGTTTCTTTCTCTGACTCTGCCTCCTCCCCCCAACCACTCTCTGTCGGCGTTCCCCAAGGTTTTGTCCTTGGTCCTCTACTGTTCTCTATCTACATGCCTCCCTTGGTAAACTCATTAGCTCGTTTGACTTCCATTATCATTTCTATGCTGATGACACGCAAATCCACCTGTCCTCTCCTGATCTCTCTCCGCTCATCTTGACTTGTGTCTCTGACTGCCTCTCTTCAATTTCCAAATGGATAGCTGCTCACTTCCTTAAACTCAACCTGTCCAAAACAGAACTTCTGGTCATTCCTCCCTCAAGTGTTACTACTCCCGTGTCTGTCTCCCTCCAAGTCAACAGCGCTACCATCACCTCTACCTGGCAGGCTCGTTGCCTGGATGTTCTTTTTTACTCCAACCTCTCCTTCACCCCTCACATCCAATCAATCGCCAAATCCTGTCGCTTCCATCTCAAAAACATAGCGCGCATCCGCCCCTATCTAACCCCAGATGCGGCTAAGGTGCTGGTCCATGCTCTTGTTCTCTCTCGCCTGGACTACTGCAATACTCTTCTCAGTGTTCTTACGTGTTCCCAGATTGCACCGTTGCAATCTATAATGAATGCAGCGGCAAGGCTCATTTTCCTGTCCACTCGCACCTCCCACACCTCTCTGCTCTGTCAGTCCCTGCATTGCCTCCCAGTTAGATATGGGGCTCAATTTAAAATTCTGGTGCTTGCTTACCAGTCCCTACATAATGCTGCTCCAACCTACCTATCCTCCCTAATACACAAGTATGTCCCATCGAGGCCCCTACCCACAGCCAAAGACCTACGTATATCCTCTGTCCGTACTCCCACCTCTAACGCTCGCCTCCAAGACTTTTCCAGGGCTGCACCTCTTCTGTGGAACTCCCTTCCCTCCTCCATAACAATTTCACCCAGTCTCCACTCATTCAAAAAATCATTGAAAACTCACTTCTTCAAGAAAGCATACCAATTAAACTGTTAGCAGGTTTTTATTCTCCACCCTCCATGACTCCTCTTCTGCAACTGTCAAAAATTACCTACTAAGCCCTCATCTTATATTTTTCTAACAACTTACTTCATACCCCTACTTTTATCCTTTGTGCCACTATACCCACTCCCTCTAGCATGTAAGCTCACTGAGCAGGGCCCTCCACCTCTGTTCCTGTACGTCGAGTTGTCTGGTTACAATTAAATGTCTGTTAGTCCACCCTTTGTACAGCGCTACGGAATATGATGGCGCTATATAAATAATAAAATAATAATAATTATGTAGTAAGTACTGTCAGTGCATTTTTTATCAATGTGTCTTTATTTTCAATGTGCCATATTGATACTACTTTTTCATCTTTATATATTGCAAATGCCCATTGCTGGATGTTAACAAGTTTTGTCAGTTATAAATATGGACCTTTCTGGCAGTTGCCAGTACATTACTGGAAGTGACGTTTGTGGCTACTCCGATACGTCACTTCTGTTTATAAGAAAACTAATCACAGCTGAACCGGAACTCTCTCCCTTATATAGACGGACGGAAGTATTCATTGAAGATAGAAGGAACCAATCAGAATGGATTTCCGGGTATAAGTTAGGAAGACAATGAGCAGCAGAATACCGATTGAGAAAGCCTTTTTGTGATAAGGCGAAATGCGTCTCGGACAGCAAGGACTTTTAATAGAGCCATTATTTGATGGTATTTTATTATATATTTTATATTTGTTTAGAAATAAAGTGTTTTTATTTTTCCACTGAGTCCTATGAGCTGCAGCATCTTCTTCCTGCTTTAAAAGAAGAGTTGTGCCCTCTTAAAGGCACAGTGTCAATTACATTGAGAGCCCAGTTTCCTTTGGCTCTCAATAAGTTGAGCAAGTATTTTGCCCCATTCTAATTTGTGATATAGAGTTTAGCGGACACCTGGATGTTCGGGTCTGGCGGGTTCGGCCGAACTTTGAAAAAAAGTCCAGGTTCGGGCTCGAACTTGACCCCGAACTTGACCTCGAACTCGAACCCCATTGAAGTCAATGGGGACCTGAACTTTTGGGCACAAAAATGGCTCTAAATAACTCCTGGAAAGGGCTAGAAGTAAAATGGGGGTAAGAGTGGGACAAGTGCCCTGCAAACAAATGTGGATAGGGAAATCAGACCTAAATTGGTCACCTAAATTGGTCGTTCAGCCACATTTACTAATATTAAGTAAAGATTACTTAGTATTAGTAAATTCAGCCCCTACTCGCTACACCGCAAGTAGGGCTGTGTC